AACTAATTTTCTCCAGACTGTCTGTTCACTATATTACGTCCAGCCTTTTATTTTTTCCGGTGTACCGAGAACCTTGTGTTCAATTACGGAGAACATTCTACAGCAAAGACAGGAGAGGGTGAACAACTCCACACGGGGAGGTGTGTGGGGGTGTGGTGGGGGTGGTCGGATCTCTGTGTGGCGTTAATAACCACAACAACAAGCGCCAGCCGCAAAGCAATATCAACACTACAGCTCCAGTGCAGCTCTGATTGGAGTTACTGTATTTCCTCTGCTGAACTGAAGCCAGAGAGAAAAAAGAAGACAAAAAAACGGAGGCGGGGGGAGTCCTGAGTCGGGCTGGGTAATGAAATTCAATACTTCAATGGTACCGACTGAATTACATCAATACTACAGAGTATCAGAATGATCCAGAGTTAAATTACATGTTTTGTTGGTTATATACGTAAGAGTAAGTTAACACTTCCTCTACAGAGGAGTAGATCATAAACTTAAATATGGCATTTTTCTGCAAATTTTAGTGTGCAATTTCTATTTATTTGCTAAGTTTCTAAAGTTCAACGCGTTAGAAAAAATAAAACAATAAAAAAAATATATATAAAATGGGCCATAACCTTCATTTTGAACTTTATCTTAGTTCTTTTTGGCTTATAATCGATATTAATGCAGAGAGGCCGGACAGGACTGAGATCAGGCCTGCGGGCCTTGTGTTTGACACATGGGCACTAGAGGGAGAAAATTTAGACTGCAAAAACAATATAAACCATATAAAAACAATTTATGTGTGTATATATATATATATATATATATATATATATATATATATATATATATATATATATATATATATCTCCTTGGGATATATATATATCCCAAGAATGTTATTTTGGCTAAATAAATGACCAAATGCTTTACTAAATATTAGCATTACTGATTCTTACATCCCAAATAACACTCCAGATGGATTCATCAGAAGGAACTACAGCATTTTAACACATACCAAACACACAAACACATACACTCTAAACTCCTCCATCAGCGAGACAGCGAGTGTACAAACATGCAGAGCGCTCCTGAATGAAAGGCTTTGCCCTTCAGGCTTTAGAAAGCAATGAGGCCAGGCCAGTTTTTAACGATGCTAAATGATCGGAGGCTGCGCTCGTTCTCTTGTTCACAGCTGCAGCAGTGGAAGGACGATGCTGAGGGCTGTCCAGATCGTCTATGTTTATTTCCCTGACGTGTTTTCATAACGGTGCCATAGAAAGCATGTTTATCTGCAGCAGCAGTGAAAGTGTCCGATAAAAATGCTCTCGCTAATATCTACATCCTTTAGGTGCTGCTTACATCAGCAGTAGGAATAAAGCAAAGGATTTGTATGTGAATGTTTGTTATAGCACCGCAATGATTAGTCAATGTCGCTTAATTAAAAGCAAAAGCACTCTAGTGCCAGAGACACTGCGCCTGTCCAAAAAGGCACCATAAACCCTGCAGTCTTTCTCACTTTGGTGATGTCAACATGTGGAGGTTTGCAAGGTTGCTCGAGTTTGCAAGGTTTAAAAACATGGATTTGTAACAGACTCACATCACAGGCTGAATGTGCAGAATAACTAAAGAACTTTTTAGAGTTTTCATACATGAAAAACTCATGAGTACTTAAATAGCTGAAAAGTGCAGAAACAAGACCCACAAGTCTGGCGGCATCATTCCTAAGAGAGAACTTTAGTGATTTTATCATGAAATTCTGGTGCACCATAAAACAAAAATACAGGCATAACTACTGTGGAATTCTTTAGTTCATTGAGTTCTAACACAATACAAATAAACCCATGCCCAAAGATTGTATTGCTTTCTATGTATTTTGACATTTGTTAAAAATCTGTTGTTTACCACAAGGTGAGAAGATTAATGTGTATGAAGTTTGGTATACTTTTCCTCTCTCCTTTTGATTCTAAAAACTTTGCCCATCATTTGTGTTTACTAGCTCCATATTAATGCAAAGTGCTTGGACCCCAATGATTGCCACGTGCGATGTAATGTGCAGATAGCTGTTTAGCTTTCAGCAATTACAGCGTCCCCAAAAGTCAGTGTTCTACATCAAATTGGAATGAAAACTAAATGTAAGGACTATCACGCTTGCTAATGATCATTTACCCACCCAAAAGCTACTAAAGAAAGAAATCCAAAAACACAAACCAACTTCACCACACACAAAACGTAGCTCTCTTTCCACGTGTCTGTAACCTTATCTTAGTTCTGTTTGGCTAATCAATATTAACGCAGTGTTTGGACCCCGATGATTGCCACTTGCAATGTAATGTGCAGATAGCTGTTTAGCTGCTTTCAGTGCTTACAGTGTTCCCAAAAATCAACGTGTTTTACACCAGATTCGGATGAACGCTAAATGGAAGTTGACTGTCATGATCATTTACTCACCCAAAAGCTGCTGAAGAAAGAAATCTGAATACACAAAACACAAACGAACTTTTGCACACACAAAACATAGCTTTCTTTTCATGCATCTGTAACTTTATCTTCTGTTTGGCCACTAAGAATTAAATACTGTATCTGGGGGCTGAATAATGACTGTGATTTAGTGCTCTGACCTCTCTAAGACTGACCCTTCAGGACTTTCTGTTAAACAGAATGAACTCAGTATGATAGTGGCAGCAAACAGTGGACAACAAAATGAGGTATAATGGTTAGATTATTCAAATAACTGAATAACAGTCGACAGATTAAATGATTTGAAATATAAATCTAGCAGCCTGTGTTTATTAGAGTAAGGAGGAGGTCATGCTCCTTCTGCTCTTTTGAGACTTGATTCTTTCTCAGCCCTCTGACCGCCTTCCCTTTAGCACTATGATAACCAGAGACACCCTGAGGGACATTTCACAGGAAACCAGGCGTCCCCTACAGGCCACACTCCCCCAGCAACCAGTAGTAGGCAATTTATAGCAGCCTGAGGCCTCTCGATCTTCACCTTTATTTCCATTTTTATTTCATTTTTAATATACAACATCATTTGATCCATGTCAGGGTTAGCATAAATTAGTCTCTAATTAGCCTTAAATACAATTATCATGGCTGACTGTCCAGGCAGATCTGTTATTGTGCAGGATGGCGTTCGTGTGCGCTGAGTAGAGATCATTTGTCTGCTCGTTTTAAGAATCTCTGTGTGTGTGTGTGTGTGTGTGTGTGTGTGTGTGTGTGTGTGTGTTTAGCCCTGCAACCCGTCTTTATAAAGGTTCCACTAATGAGCTCCTCCATTAAGATGTACGAGGAGGCAAAACTCCAGCAAAACTGAAATAATGATTCGGTGCACCGTTCTCCCCTCACTCACTCTAATCACAACAGCTGTGAAGAGCTGAACACGGAGAGACGGAGTGAATGAGAGAGAGAGAGAGAGAGAGAGAGAGAGAGAGAGAGAGAGAGAGAGAGAGAGAGAGAGAGCAGAGAGCAAGCAAAAGCAAGAGAGAAGAAATTTAAGGGGGGGTGGGAGAAACATAAAACCAAGAAAGAAGAACAGAAAGAAAAGAAGAAACACAGAGGGACAGATAGAGAGGGATAACGAGAAAGACAAAGAAAACCGAGAGGAGAGAGGGAGAGAGAGAGAAGTAGTATGTATATATATCCCAATTCAGGGGCTGCATCCTTCAGAGGCTATAGTTGAAGGTCGATTGCATCACAGCGGGCGCGACTAGGCTGCCTCTTTTCAAAGGCTCCTTCAACCAACATATCCGGTTCACTGCATGCAGACGAGGATTTGAGAACATGGCGGCGTCAGCAGAGGAGCGAACGGCGGCTGAAGAGACACTTTTAAATGTAAGTATTGGGTTTAAACTCGGTCAAATAGCTAAAGATACAAATGTTAAAAAAGCCAATGTGGTCTGAAGCAAAACTTACACTAACGTTTTGTTTTGTTTTAGGGAGCAAAGCATCTTCAGCTCTAATAAATGTAATAATAAAAAACTAAAATCAAAGTTTTTGGCTCCATCTATAAAGAACTTTAAAAGAACTTGACAAGAGCGGCGTTTCGTAACGCAGCGGTAAGGGCGGGAACAGCAGTGATGTGGTGCGAACAGGAAATCCGCCAGAGAGCAGACCGTCTCGTTTCAGTCCAGCCTTCGCGGGTCTACGCAGCCTTCGAAGGAAGCAGCCCCTGAATTGGGACACAGCTATTGTCCAGGGTGGTTTTGACTCAAACTTGTTTCAAAACAACCTGAAAACCCCGTGAATGAATCCTGCTGTAATTCACTAAGCCTGATCGAGGACAATGTAACTGCAGTGGAGAGTTGCGACGATGCTGATGAAAATGCTGATGAAAAGTGAAAAGGGCATAAGCGTGTGCTCGGCCTGGTGGCTCCAAGCTGCTCCCTTTCACTCCCTTTAGCACAACCTGCTGGTGCAGCTCACTCAGAAGAGGATTAAAGCCAAACAACTCTACAGACCGAACACTGCAGTTCTCAGACCAATGTACTGACATGCGTATGCAAAGATATGCAATGTGCTTTAGTCCGTATTCGTAGATAACAGTGTGTCATACAGTGTCAGAAACCACAACATCAAGTCTATTAGAGATACTGAACAACATGGCTTGAAGCAAATGTGACGATTTAAGCACGTAGTTCACACAATGCTATTCGGTGGGGTATAAGCTTCCATTAACCGTTAGCGCCATTATCCTCGTAGATTCAGTACAAAACTAAAGAAGCAAACTTCAGAAACAAAGCATGTCTTAGCTGACTGGCTACAATTAGCAAAATGGGAAGAAAACTTGGTAAATTTGATTTTTGCTGAACTATTCCTTTCTGTCAAACTATTGCCTTCAACTGAAAACAATTACACTGAACTCTGTTAAATAAACAGTTAACATTCAGATTTGTGCTTGTATATTGGCACATACTGGACTACATAAAAATGGCTTATTCTAGTATTTATTATTATTAATTAATTAATTAATAAATAAACAGTGTTGGATTTGTTCGAGACATGTTGCCCACCTGTGTGGCCATTTTTCCGTAGTCGATCCAGCGCAGTGTGGCGAAGTTAGTGGACTCTGCGCAGTTGAAGCCATGGTTGAAGCCGGCGTGGTAGCCGTACGGGAACGTGATCATGAACTCGCCCGCCTCCTGAGTGATCTACACAAGAGAGACACAAACAGCAGAACAGAGAACATCAACACACTTTTATAGCAACGCTGTGATATATTTCCACGTTCGTTATTAACATAATGACTAAAATTAACATTGTACGTTCTTTCCAGCTTTCTTGGTGTATTGTGTCTGTTCTAACTTGACTGTAAAAAGTATAAACTAAAAATAAACTATTGATAATAACAACAGTAATAAACTTTATTTAGCACACTTTCTATAATCGAGAGCAGCTCAAAGTGCTGAACAAGAAACAATGAAAATTAAAACACCAGCATGAGAGTAATTTAAAAGTCTATGACATTAATGTAAATATAAAATATAAATATATATATAAAAAATAAAACAATTATAACTACAAACCCATAGTAATAATTTAAAAATGGTAAAGAAAAAAGCTTAAATAAATCAATTCAAAAAGAAATAAAGGGAAAAACAATTAATAGAAATATATAAGGCAAATAGTAAAACAACGATCTCTACAAGTACAAGTACATTTTTGCAGCACTGCTCAGCCCTATCGCTTTCAGCCTCGCAACTGACAGAGATGATTATTGCTATTATTGCTATATTTACTTATATTTACTACAACATCATCATCATCATAGAAATGCCCAAGTTTCCATTACTTTATAAAAAAAAAGAGAAATAGATGCTCAAATGTGTGCTACTATTCAGAAAATAAGATGATACACTATAGTTATAATATATTTATAAACAGTTATAAAATATAATATAAATTAGTTATATAGTTATAAAATATAATATATAAAAATCGTTTTGGGGCAGTATTAAATAGACAAAAGATTTCTTCACAGAAATGAAAGTAACAGTAAACAAATTTGATATATATTTTAACAGATAATAAATTTGCAATTTCCTGTTTCCTGAGCCTGCGATGGACTGGCGACCTGTCCAGGGTGTATCCTGCCTTCCGCCTAATGATAGCTGGTATAGGCTCCAGCACCCCACCACGACCCAGAAGGATAAGCGGTTTAGATGATGTGTGTGTGTGTGTTTCCTGAGCCATTATTTAAATGTATTTCTAATATAAATGTAAATAGGAACATAATCGTTAAAATTACTGATTAATCCAAAAAAAGCTGAAAGGTTAACTGATTATAGAAATTAAATATGTTCAAAATTTTACATCAGAGTATGATTCAAGTTTCTGACCGTTTCAGTTTATATCACACTAATCATATTTTCAAATAAAATCAAAGTTGGTTTCGTACTTAAAAGTTTTTGACTGAATTCTCCGTTCCACCTTAAATGGAGAGGCACTGAAGTTGGCTTTGTATTTGAATTTTCCGTTCCAGCTTAAATGTAACTGCTGCACCATTTTAAGGTGGAAGGAGATATTAAGCCATCTGTCTCATGCTTCAGTGCCTGCTGGTCCGCAGTGCGTCCACAATCGTGGCCTTGTCTGAACTGTCTGACAGGCTAAGGCTGAGACCAAAAGACTGGCCATTTCTTTATGTCCTCTGCCTCAAAGAGAAAGTGGACTCGTTCACATGCAACGCACTGGACAGCAGAGGATGAGCGAGGGACTGCAGCGTCATCATTTTCATTTGAACTCAGAATGCCTGAAGATTTTTAATCAGTGGTCAATCTTGCTGACCAAGCGTGTTCACTGCACACAGACATCTTTAGGACTGAAGGAGCTCTGTGTGACTCTGAGCTGATGGAAGAAGCAGCACTGAGAGGAGTCAGTGAGGACTTCAGTGATGAGAGGTCATAAGTGTCGGATTAAGCTGTAAACGACTTCATTCTTCTTCTCTCTCCTCCTCCATCAACCTCTCCTCTTCTCCTTCTCTCCTCCTCCATTTACTTCTCCCTCTCTTCTCCTCCATCTACCTCCCTCTTCTTCTCTCTCCTCCATCCACCTCTCCCTCTCTCCTCCTCCATCTACCTCTCCTCCTCCTTCCATATCTCCCTCTCTCCTCCATCCACCGCGCTCTCTCTTTCTCCTTCCACCGCTCCCTCTCTCCTCCTTCCACCGCTCCCTCTCTCCTCCTTCCACCACTCCCTCTCTCCTTCTCCTTCCACCACTCCCTCTTTCTCCATCCACCTTTTCCTCACCTCCTTTCTATATCTCTCTCCTTCTCCTTCCACCGCTCCCTCTCTCCTCCTCTATCCACCTCTTCCTTCCTCCACCCATCTCTCCTCTCCCCTCCTCCACCCATCTCTCCTTTTCCCTTCTTCTTCCATCCACCACTCTTTCTCTCTCATTCTTTCATCCACCACTCCCTCTCCTACTCCATCCACCTTTCCCTCACCTCATTTCTCTATCCACCTCTCCCTCTGTTTTCCTCTATCCCTCTCCCCTCTCCTTCTCTCCTCCTCCATTCACCTTTTCCTCACCTCATTTCCCCATCCCTCTCTCCTTCCACCACTCCCTCACTCCTTCTCAACCCACCTTTCCCTCACTTCCTTTCTCTATTCTCTCCTTCTCCATCCACAATTGCTTCCCTCCTTCACTAATCTCACTCATCATTCATCTTCTCTCCCTCCTTCTCTCTCTATCCACCTCTCACACTACTTTGTCTTCTCTTTATCCAACTCTCACTGTCATTCTTTTACTTTCTCTCTACCTCTTGCTCACTCTCTCCATCCACCTCTCAATTCCTTTCTTTCCACCTCTCCTTCTTCCCCCTCTATCCACATTTCTTTTTCTCTCTCTCTATTTCATCTTGTTCTCTCTCTATCCACTTCTCCCTCTACACTTTCTTTTTCTCTCTCCCTCCGTCCTTTAATTTCTCCCTCTTCCTCCCTCGTCTAAACTGCCTCACAGCTTCAATCCTAGAACGCTATTTCAGGCAGTACAAGTGCAATTAAGTGTGGACTCAGTGAGCATGGCGTTTAGAGTTAGCCAGCCTTGGCAAATGAATATTTTTATTTCGTTTTTTTTTCGAGCGCTGCCGTCGCTTCCGGAGATGTGAGGGTCCCCAGAAGTGCCTCGGCTCAGCGGCTGCATGGCGTCCATTAGAAACTAAGTTAGATGAATTAGGGGTGAATGTAAGCTATATTTCAGTCCCGCGTGCCTCCTCGCTCGCTCACTCGATCGCCCGGCTCCGTTTACCATCAATAAAATCAATGGTGTCTGATCATGATTTACTCACTGAATTAGCTCCGTGTGGCTGGAGAACATTACTGGACGCCACTGAAGGTCAACGGCTGCTGTGAAATTAACAAAGTTCTTACACTGCACTAATCGATGACTTATTCTGGCTTAGTGTCCAACAGAGACATACACAAGACCCTTCGATCGGGTCAAACCAAGCCAATGCTTACAAAGTGTGCCTGAGTACCTACTGAAGATCTGATTATAAACACGTCATAACGCATTTATTTGTTACCAACACAATTACATCCTTAGTTTTCTGCATAGGTTCCTCCAGACGCCTGTGACCTCATCAGTCTGGCATTTCTTAAAGGAATATTTCAATGAAAAATCTGATTTACACCATTATAAATCATGTTTGGTGTCTGAAGTTTGCTTCTTTAGTTTTGCACTGGAGCTACGAGGCTAATGTAGCTCAAACAGGTCTTGGCTGAGCGACTACATCTGTGGTGCACAGCAAAAAATGATACATTTTCAAATGAAATCCTCACTATATTGACTTTTTTTTTAAGAAACGTACTCATTTCACTTGAAGAAATGATTTAAGTCAAGTAAAAATGTCTGGAAATAACTAAAATAGCTGGTTGAGCTATTCTTAGGTTATAGAAGTGTCTACTATAACTGGTCATTTAAAGCATTAATAACATTACCACCAATGGACAGATGATTCAATCTGACGGACACTCCAAATGGCTATTCGATGTTGTAGCTATTTAATTTAAACCGGGGTTAAACTACACGACTTTTACGGCGATTTTAGCCTTGATTCTCAGTCTGGCTGAGTCTGAGCTGGTCAGCTCTAGTCTGCAGATTTTTGGGTCAGTTGGAGTCGGCAGTTGGAGGGAGAGTCGAGTCGTGTTTGAGGGGCGCAGACTCAGATTTACAGCCCCCCGATGTCGTTTCAGACCAGTCAAAGTTGATCATACATGTTTCAGTTTTTTGACCCGACTCACCCGTGTGTAATCTAGTGTAAACTGGTCAACGACTCAATCTGAACGAATTCCTGCAACAGCCAATAAAAACTGAGAGCATGAAAGAAGAAAAACAGCAAGTAAACAAAAAAACAAAATGGCGAAAAGTCTCTCATGTGTGGAACGAAGCTTTTTAATGAGCTGAGTTTAAAACACAATCGAGTTTATGTACATTTAAAACTCTAAAAAATGCCACGTTGATCACATTTTAAATCTATGATCCCCACTTAAAGATGTTTACCTGCTGTTTCTTTACTGTTTCAGCACAAACAGCAGAGAAAACAGCAGCAGCACCATGTTTGTTTATTTGCGTCTCCTAGTTAACAGGAGAATGTGCGAGTTCTCGTGAGTTCACGCGGGTTTAGTGAGCTCCGTTTGCTTCAGCAACAGCTTAAAAGCTGTGGTGTGTGATCCCTTATCGTTTACTGTGTGATCCATAATATTTCAGTCACCCTAAATAAACACAAAACCCAGTCTGATAAAATGACCAGTCTTTTATAATCTGTTAAGACTTTATAAGTCGTGTAGTGTAACCAAGGCTTTACTCCTGAAAAGCAGGATGTTTAGACTATGCTGTGTTAATGCACTACAATATCTGCATTCTATTCATTTTACTGCATCTGTTGCCCTTCAGTAATAAATGGCTGCTGTGGGAAGAAAACCTTGTATCTCCATTTTTGACGTTTTTCAGTTTATGACAATTTAAAAATACCTGTTGCCCTTTACATTGTATGTAAATTTCATGATGAATGGACAAAAAGAAAATGACCCAAAGTTATTGGGAAAAAAGTCTGGTTCCATTACATTAAAAGTAAAGTATGTTTTTTCCTCCTCCTGTAAAAGTTACCATTTTGGAGATATGAGGTTTTGTTCTGACAACAGCAAAATGCTGC